CTGTGAATTACAATCAAATAATTGATTTCCAATCAATTTATCTGCATTAATTGACTAGAAGGTTACTATAAACCTTCTATGAAATAATATTCAGCAGTTATTATCCATCATTAATTGTTAAAGTAAAATACTGCAGATATAAGTCTGATCTTTTATTCATGTGAGTCTACAGCACATTGAAATTGAAATTTATATTCATCATAATACTGATTGATTGATGAATTGTTGTTCCTCCATTGCAGCTTCTACGGGACAGGCCTGATCGCTGGGCACGGCTTTACAAGTCCAGAGCGTACCCCGGGGCTCTTTGTGCTTTTTGATGAGGACCGTTTTGGTTTTATCTGGCTGGAGCTGAAGTCTTTCAGTCTGTACAGTCGCCTAACGGACCACCTAGCTCACGCTCACGCCCCAAATATGGAGCGATTTGAGGCCATGCTGTGCAACATGCAGTCCTGGACATCCTGATGCACCACGTTTTAGGCCCCCCCCCCCCCCACACACACACAATACAATGCATAATAACAACCATTTCACACGAATCACCTCTGTCCTCCGCTGACTGATCATTGCTATCACGATAGCTGTAACTGTCCACGTTCTATCTATATCTGTTCCACAGACATTGGGTTTTACTGTCTAATTAAGCTAGTTATGTCACCCGCGCTCCTGTTCCCATACAAGCACTTTGAAAGGCCTCCCCAAGTCACCGTCTATCACCTCACCTCAGTATGACCTTAATCCTCCAGTGCAGCATGATGACAGGTCACATTAACCTTTTTGTATTTATTTATTTATTCCCTGCAGGAGAAAAGGAATGATATTTCATACCACTTATTATGGATCAAACTGTATGTGCCTCTGATTCTAAAACCATGTCTGTACTTGATAGTGCTTGAAGACGATGAAGGTGTCCAATGTATTCTACTATATAGCATTATACTGATTTCAGTGCCCAACATATTGAACTGCATGCTGCGTTTTCTTTAGATCTGATTGCATCTCATAGCCATGATCTGAACATGATGTTTTATTTTCATTAAGCAGCATGCCTTGCTTTTTAGTTTGTTTGTTTTTTTGCATTAAGAAAAAGACAGCTTCTCAGGTGTTTTTCTCTTTGCCACAAGTCAGTGAAAAACTGGACTAAAGTATTTATGTGTATAACAAAATGTATGAAGTTACATTCGTTTTAGTCATATGTCCAATAGGAATACTGAGTTTTACAGCGGGGCAATTTTCTAACCATTGACGAGAGCGGGTTTGCTGTCTTATCAAACACTGTAGCTACATCAGCCAGTTTTGGCCCTTTGAACTGAAGAGATAGTGATTTGCACTCATTGGTCTACATCAAACACTTGTCACCCCACCTGATATTATATTATGTAAGCTGGAAAGATGTATCGTACTGCAATAGAATAACATAACCTATAATAAGCTGATAAAAATAATACAGGTCTGTGTGCTTATATAATGATGGTCTGAAACAGAAACTTCTCTTACCTTTGAAATGTATTACATTTGTTGTTTGTTTAAATGGCTGACGTAATGTTTGCCTGGCTTTATATCCGCAAAGCTTTTCCCTCCAGTTTTCCAATTCATCTCGAACTTGAGACCAGGCTAGCTAAACATTATACAAACTAACAGCTCAAAGTGCATCTCAAAGTACCAAGTAAGTGTCTGTATGCCTCATTACAGCCTGAAGGTGTTGCCCAGTAGCTTTCTTCCTCCAAGTGCACTTTTCTGGGCAGTATAGTGAATCATTCAAAACCACTGGCCAGCACTTTTATATCTGACTGCAGCTTTACTAACATTTGCAAAAAAAAAAAAAAAAAAAAAAAGAAATAAAGTGTCTGCTAAAGCATCATCAGTTTAATTTGATCACTTTTTGTTAATTTCCTCTCAAATTCAGTTGAATTGTTTTATACATTCTCCGATCTGTAAGCCCTCTGTACCTGGCTATTTGAATGATTTGCCTTCGAAAAGTGTTGCTTTGTACCATTTTCCATGCAATACACCTGATTTTGACCTATTGAACTGCTCACATCGGACTTCAGGGAGCTTTTCAGCTTAAGCGCTCTTCTCAGTAATAAAAAAATCAAAACTGAAAAGGTCATTTTTTTGTCAACTCTTATTTTTCCTGTGGTTTGTATGCTTATGTATCCATTGCTGTGGTGCAAGAAACCTGTTCTCAACTATCACCTAAAAGAATTGATAACACTTTACTTGAAGGTATCTACATAAGGGTGACATGACACTGTCATAACTATGACATGACACTCATGAACTTGTCCTAAACATTATGTACATGTCATAAACGTGTATGACTGCTGTCATTAAGTGTCATTTGTTTTTTGTAATGACAAGTTGACATTGTTTGGGTTGTCTTGTTTATGACAACTTGACATTAATTAAAGTGACATTACCAGAAGTTGTCTTTGTCATGATGAGTTGACATTAAATTTGTTTGGGATATCCTTATAATGACAAGTTGACATTAATATAAAGACATCTTCTGGTAATGTCTTCCTGGTTAATGTCAAGTTGTCATTATAAGGACATCCCAAACAAATTTAATGTCAACTTGTCATGACAAAGACAACTTCTGGTAATGTCATCCTGGTTAATGTCAAGTTGTCATTATAAGGACATCCCAAACAAATTTAATGTCAACTTGTCATGACAAAGACAACTTCTGGTAATGTCACTTTGATTAATGTCAAGTTGTCATAATAAGGACATCCCAAACAAATTTAATGTCAACTTGTCATGACAAAGACAACTTCTGGTAATGTCACTTTGATTAATGTCAAGTTGTCATAATAAGGACATCCCAAACAAATTCAATGTCAACTTGACATGACAAAGACAACTTCTGGTAATGTCACTTTGATTAATGTCAAGTTGTCAAAAGAGCTCCAGCAACACTTGTGGTATGAAAAACAACTTTATTGACCGATGCCTTTCGGCTTGTGGCCTTCATCAGGGTCACGGTCACAATCTGAAATGCATCGGTCAATAAAGTTGTTTTAAATACCACAAGTGTTGCTGGAGGTCTTTTGACATTTTCCAGTGTTTCCTCACTCTCCATGCACCTTGTGAATCAGTGAAGTTGTGCCAGAAACCACTTTCTACTTCAATTAATGTCAAGTTGTCATTATCAAGACAACCCAAACAATGTCAACTTGTCATTACAAAAACCGAATGACACTTAATGACAGTAGTCATAAACATTTGTCATGTACATAATGTTCATGACAGGTTCATGACCGTGTAAAGTGTTACCCGAATGATTGTCTCCTGACACTGCGGCAGGTGAATTTTGATATAGTGTAATCAAATTTAGTTTTCCTTCTCACACCAGTCGTGCATTACACAAGCCCTGCATACTGTTGTCAGTATAAACCTTAAGTAATCCATGTTCACCTTTTACACCAGTGTTGGACCAATGGACAACCCCAGTTACGAGTTGGACAGTTGACCTGGGTCCATGTTAACCCTTTCACACCAGCTGCCAGTGTGTGTGTGTGTGTGTGTGTGTGTGTGTGTGTGTGTGTGTGTTTTTTTTAATTTGTTCTTTTGTGTGAATGGAGAATGAAAAAGTTGATTCAGGGATAAAGACAACACAAAACTGAAGAGTAAAACATTTCAACAGCTCCAGATGGCTTTTATTTTACACTGGAATCCAGATGAGTAAGGAGTCACGAAATATATGTGGGCAAACACAGTCAGGGTATCACATTATTTAAACCTTTGAAACCTGGAGCAACGTCACTTTTCTTGTACTGCTTTCATATGCTTTTTGCAAGTATTTAACCCTTTGAATCCTGAGCAAATTGGTGTGATTTCTTTTAAAAAATCATGAGAAAAAGGCATTAAGCAACATGGTAAGAAATGTCCCACAAATTGTAAAAGGAAAAAAAAAAAAAAAAAAAAGATTTAGAAAATTATTTAATTTTTTTTTTTTTTTAAAGGTAGGGAAAAACTATATTTACAATGTAACCGAATTATTACATTTTTAAGACCTCTTTCCAGGTAATTTCCTTGTTTGTTTTTAAACAAATTTTATTTTTAAGTTTGTCTTTTCACCAATTTCTTGGGAACATTTTGGGGTCATTTCTTCTTTCCTTGCTCATTGCCTTCTTCCCATGTTTTTAAAGATTTCAAGCCAATTTGCTTAGGTTTCAAAGGATTATGGTACACTTATGCTCCATAATTCCTCTTGGGTTTTTCATATTTTACAAGAAGTATTCACTGAAGTGATCTACCTTGGATTTAATTTGATGTACATTGTACACAGCGGCTCTCAAAAGTATAGTTCTGACTTGCTACTGCCACGTCACACACAGCTTTTCAATTGACCTATAGCTAAGTCCCGCCCTCAAACGCGATGAGCCAATCACAGTGCATACAGCCATTCCAATACACTTGGACATTCTCTGCCTGGAAGTTCATTGAAATGCATTACAGAAAGTCAGTTTTGTTCGGTTTTATGAGCTTTTTCGGAGATCTGAAGTTTAAAAATGGTTAAACGGTGTGCATGGGGTACATGCAACTCCAACACAAGGTATCCTGAGAGGCTGGGCGACAGGGTGTATTTTTTACACTTTAAACCACATCTCAACTGTGAAAAATGTCTCCTTTGGATAAAGTTGTGTGGTAACGTTAGACCACAACATCAACTCAACATGAATGATGTCTACATCTGTTTTAAGGTAAGTCAACACTGTGTTTGAGGCAACATATTGTCACTTTGCTGGAAAGAAATATAAAGTTATCTTTAACATCTCTAGCTAACGTTAGCTAAAGTTAGCCTGACGTTAGCTCCTAGCTGCGTTGTTCATTATGTCACCTTGTTTGCTGGGAGTTCATTAGCCTGTTTCGTTCTAGTTTTGTACTTCGGTGATCGTACATCATTGTTAGCTGTTGTCAAAGGGCTATAGTTAAGCTAACGTTAACTTCTGGAGCTTAGCTTCATTAACTTATCTGTGATCGCAGAGATAACAAAGGTTGGCAAACGTTATGCTGAATGATTCAGTGTAAATACTGTAGCACCAAACTAACGGAGAGACACTCTTGGTAAAGATGGTAAAAAGGCCGTTATCCTTTTCTCATATTCTGAGCCAAAAAACTTAACTTCAGTGGCGCTTTATCTTGTCTTTGATGGCGACAGCAACGAGATGCGGTTCACAAGCGTACACTGTGACCTGTAAATTTTGGCTTGTAATGTAAGCATTTCATCGAGCTTCTCAACAATGAAATGATGAATATATCCCTCCAATGCGTAGTTTAGGCCCTTTTGGTTACTTCTCAATGACATCTGATAGTTATGTCCCCAAAAATCATCAACTGCCTCCTGCAAAATGCCGTGTACTGTGACACCTGCCATAGTGCCTGTCACTGAATGTTGATAGTTTGTCTGGGTGAGTGGAGGGGGGCGTGGCTTAGCCATAGGTCAATTGTGGAATCTTCTGAATATACTTTTTGAAAGGATCTCCTTTCCAAATTTCATACAGTGCATGGTGCTTTGTATTGGCCATTTCAAACTTAACAACATACACATTCAAAATGGTTCCCCTTGTATTTCCTGTTGGAATGTTTGTTAATGCAGGAGCTGACCAAGGAAACTACGAAAGATAGATTTATAGTTTCTTGGGTAGCTGATAGGAAGTAATCAGGGACCAAACCTGTTGCCCTAGCAACAGTATAGAGGGGACTTTTCTATAGCTCGCTGTGCTCCATCTTCTCTTTGTGTTGTCGGACCTTCTCAGGGAGAGTCTGAGTCAGGAAGATCAATCGGTCCTTCTTCAGGTGCTGAGCAACTACCTGCTCCTTTGCATCAATTGACAGGTAGTGCTCTTCTGCTCCATACTTTGGCCAGTGGACAAGGCCAGCCCCATTAGGAGACCTACACACACACACGCCCGCGCGCACACACACACACACACACACACACACACACACACACACACACGTTGTGTGTTAAGTTAAAAACAGGTCTTATCTCCATGTGTATCATAACTTGTAATGGGGCTAAATTCCTACCCTGTGTGTGCAAAGTTGCCCCAGTAGCTCATCACGATTCTGCTAAACTCTTCCTCCTCTTCAGAGCATGCCTCTATAATGATAATAATGTGGTAAAACGCTTTGCACTCTGGGAAACCCTGAGGTAACCCAGATCTTTGGTGGTCTGTTAAAAGAATAATTTATATATGTTGCACTTACCAGGTATTCTGACATGGGTAGTTGTGAAGCAGAATCCTAATACTGTTAAGAGTTCATCTCCATGGTCACACCCAACAAAGCTAGGCCTCTTTTTCTGCAGGATTTTGGGAGCATACTGGTACTCATACAGGTAGACAGGGGCACCTGCATCTGATAACAAATGAATGGCTTTGGTTTATCTTGTTTATGAAAGTGTGTGACAGTAAATATTAAACAATTGTTCTCATAGATTTGCATAATCTTGTGTAAATAAAATACCTCTGTGGGCATTAGCAGTCTTAATGGCTGGAATGTTGAAGAGTATATCTCCCAGCAACTCAGTGAACCCATCTCTGTTTTTCACATGATCCTCACCAGTTCCAATGTATTCATCTACCATAAGTTCACTGATGATCGCACCATTGGGCTTGAGAAAATGAATAACACATCTGTCAGAGAAGTTTGAGCATGATGAAGCAGAGTAATATTATAATGTCCAGCACTGTCAGCCTTACATCAGGGTGGAACATGATCATCGCGTTGAGGACCTGCTCCCGATCTAATCCCTCTGTCCAGTTTGAAGAGAAAAAGAACTAAGGGAAGACAATTACTATTTCAAACGTGCACAAAAGCAAAACAAAATCAGGTTTTTATGGGCTCATCTGGAAATGGTAAGCTCCTCAGTACACAAATGTCAGTAACAATTTAGCATTCACACTTACACCAGGAAGTAACCAGCCCCCTTCATCATTATTAACACCAGTCATGAATGGTGCAGTGAGAAGATCATGAGTACGGTACAGCTCATCCACAGGTTTTGTGATGAAGTGTCCATCAACATTTATAGCAATTCTAATAGTTGGATCCTTGAGTCAATAAAACATGAATCAGAAAAGGTAGAGACAAAGACAACGTAAACAAAGTGAAGATTTCATAGAAATTTTGCAGAAGACATTATAGGCTTATTTTCAACAAAGTTTAGCATTTGATATCTCACCTGTCCAAAAGTCACAACCGTGTCAATATCAAGGCTTCTCATGCAGTCAGCAATCTTCTGTGTGCTTTCAAGGCTACAGCCAGATGCATTTGCTATCATCTGAGGACAGATATGTGAGATCCATCTCAACAATTTAGAAAAAGAAATGCATTGTGATATTCTCAATATTGTGAGCTGAAGAATGTTTACACACAAAAATAAACACTGATATCAACCTGCGTCACTGGTAGAGGATCATTGGTGAGAAGTAAACTCATTGAAGCAGTACCACTCTCAGCAATGGCATGGTGGAACAGGCCTTTAGACATTGGTGAGAGAAGCTGTAGATTCAAGCAACATAAAAATAGAATTACCACCTTGCAGTTGTATGCCTCTGCAAACCTATCAAGTTGCACTTATAGTTTACATCTATGTCTGCGACAACATGGATGGTTCACACACATCTTCCCCCCGAACAGCACAGAAGATCTATACAATCAGCACAGTTTCAAGGTGGCCACCCAAGATTAGTGTCACCAATGCAATATCTGACCAAAAGTCTCCTTTTCTGTTCCTGAGATACGACATTGAGAAATGACGAGAAAAGTGTTTTATGCAGAACATTATGATGTTGCAGTAAAATTGACCTTTGACCTTTTTGATATAAAATGTCATCACTTCATATTTTATTCAGCCACACATTTCTGTAAAATTTTGGTTTTATTAGTGTATAAATTCTTAAGTTTTGGCCAAAATCATATTCTTAGTATACAGTGACCTTGACCTTTGACTTGTGACCACCAACTTCCAATCAGTTCATTGCTGAGTCCAAGTGGATGTTTTTTTCTATCAAATTTGAGGAAATTCCTTTGAAGCATTCATAAGATATTGTGCTCCAGAGGTTGAGATGGACGCAAGGTCACAGTGACCTTCAGTCACCAAATTCCAATCAGTTCATTGCTGAGTCCAAGTGAACGTTTGTGCCGAATTTGAGGAAATTCCTTTGAAGCATTCTTGAGATATTGCGTTCACGAGACTGAGATGGACGCAAGGTCACGGTGACCTTCAATCACCAAATTCCAATCAGTTCATTGCTGAGTCCAAGTGGACGTTTGATCCGAATTTGAGGAAATTCCCTCATGACATTCTTTAGACTGTACTTTTACATCAATAAGATGGATGCAAGGTCACAGAACCTTGACCACTGATCTCCAACATCTAAAGAGTTCATCCTTGAGTCCAAATGGATGTTCGTACCAAGTGTAAAGAAATTCCCTCAAGGAATTCATGAGCTATATCGTTCATGAGAAAAAGACAGACGAGGTCACAACGACCTTGACCTTTGACAAAAGACCACCAAAATCATATGTTTATCGCTGAGTCCAAGTGCACAGTTGTGTCAAATTTGAAAGAAATTCCCTCAGTGCATTCTTGTGATATGGTGCTGAGGAGAATGTACAGATGGATTAACTGACAACCCGAAAACATAAAGCCTCCGCCCACGGCTATGGTCAGCAAATGCCAAAAAACAAAAGCAAAAGTTTATATTAGGTTTAGTGTAGTGTAGAATTAAGTGGCATCAAGCGGTGAGGTTGAAGAACTGAAACTCTAAATGTGAATGGCCCTATCTAAAGCCAGTGTTTGGTTTGTCTCTTCTTGGCTATTGGAGAACAACATGAAAGACTGCTCTGTTTGTGGATATAAACAGTTCATTCTAAGGAAACAAAAACACAACAGTTTTTATTTTCAGGTGATTCTGAACTAATGAAAAGATAGTTAGGAATATTATGTACCATTTCTGTTGAAAGATACCCCTAAAGCCTACACACTGGACCTTCAGAGTGCTTAATCTGCAGATTGATCCTTACATGGAGGGATACGCTGACTCCGCCAGCAGACTCCCCAAATATGGTAACCAAATCTGGGTCTCCTCCAAAGTCATGGATGTGCTTCTGGATCCACCTCAGAGCTTCTACCTGGTCCAACATGCCAAAATTTCCTGAAATGTGCTCATCTCCAGTGCTGGATAGAACATACAATTATTAACTACCAGGCTACCATTACATCAGCTATAAAGTGATGCAGTTTTCATTTTTTTATTTTTCCATGTGGCACTGATCAGATTAAAAGTAGTAGAATATAAACATAGTATGTTTGTTCTGACACTAATAAGTGATTTGAGTCTTTTTACCTGAGAAAGCCCAGAAGACCCAAGCGGTACTGGATCAGAACCACAACCACATCTTGGTAAGCAGCCAGGGCTGATCCATCATACACTGAAGCTGACCCCATAGAAAACCCTCCACCATGGATCCAAACCATGACCTAGTAAGGTAATGAAAGACTTTGATCTTTTCCACAAAGCATAAAGTACATTTCATGACATTCTATCTGCACAAAATATTGATTAGACTACATCCAAGACTTGAACCTGACTAAAATTTAAAACTGATGGTGATGGTGACAAAAACAGGTCTCTAAATATGGACATCATAACTCATGATGCCATGGACGGTTAAGAAAGCAATCAAACCAACTTCTCCATGAACATTATGCAAAGTTATCTGAAGCTGAATCTCTGAGCAGTATCAGTCCAAACGTGCAGTAACTTACTGGGAGCTTGGCATTGTGCGCTCTGTTTGCAGGAGTGTAAATATTGAGGTAAAGGCAGTCCTCTGAAATGTCTGGGATATCTACCAACAAGCCACCGAGTTTTTCAAGCAGATCTATAGTAAACTGTTTGTGTTGAACACACCTGAAAAAAAGAGACACATTTTCACCATAAATTGTGGACATAATTTCTCTAAGTGTGTTTTTCAACAACTGAAGCACATGCAAACCTTACATGGGTGGCTGCTGGGTGGCGTCTCTCACTCCTTCCCATCCCTCTACAGGCTGGGGTGGAGCCAGTCTCAGAGCAGGGCCTACAGGTGGCTTGGCAAATGGGACACCCAGGTAGGCATGGACCCCGCTCTCCTTCCCCTTCACACTCACATATTGACCTCTCAGGCTCCCGAGCTTTGTGTGGACTTCAGGTCCTGTCAGGATGTCAGATATTGAGGCTGAATAAGAACCATAATATAACACAATATATCTCGTCACACCATCTGGTTGTTGGTTGGTTCTAGCTTAAGTTGTTTATCAAGGAACTCTGCCAGACATTTGCTGGTTCTGTTTTATCAAGTGTCAGTTGTTTTTATTAAGCATGTTTCAAAATTAGAAAAGGGCATCACAAGGCAGAAAAATAAAATCCACAACTCATAAAATCATCAGGTTTTAAACGCAAACAGATCAAGAAAAGAAGACAATTTGATGTAGAAATAAAAGACAGTTTAAAGGAAATTAGAACTCAAATAAAATCAGGAAAGGCTCTCTGATAAAAGTATGTTTTAAGAGGAGATGATGGAACCCCTCTGAAGGATGGCCATGAAGATGGGACCCCACTGGAGTGCAACCACAGAGGTGGGACCCTACTGGAGAATGACCATGGAGGCCGGACCTCACTTGAGGATGATCACAGGACTTGAGATCAGTAATGGCAGCTGGCAACTGATGCTGAGCTGGAGAGCAAGGAAATAGTCTGGTGGAACCAGGGGAGTGCTGTTGCTGAGCAGGAACAAGAGGGGCCTGCTGCAGCTCAGCAGGGACAGGGGTGGGCTAGACCGCCAACTGGGAACCAGAAACAGTTGTTGAGTGGTCCACCAACTGAACAACAGAACGGGTGTCAGCCAGGCTCCTGGCTGGACATGAACAATAGGTGTCGGCCAGGCCACCTACTGGAGATCAGGAACAGACCGCTGACTGGAAACCGGGAGAGGTGTCAGCCAGATTGCCTACTGGGAACTATAATAAGGTGTCAGCTGGATTGCCAACTGAGGACAAGGAACAGACGATACATCGGCTGGGACCTCTAACTCAGAGACTCAGATGCAGGAACTGACTCACAAACAAAATTGATGTCAGTCGGGACCCCAGATGCAAGAAAAGATGTGGCACCGTCTACAAACCTCAACCCAGGAACTAACTCAGGACCAGCCTTTACTTTTACCGGGACCACCAATGCAGAAACATACAGGTTGTTGGCTGGAACCCCGAAGCAGGAATAGGAGGCTGCTACAGTCCTGCAGGAACAGGACACATGGGCAAGGTACCAACGGGAGCCGAAAAAGAATCTGCAGCATTAGTGTCAACAATCTCTTTCATATTAGACAGTAGTGCCTACAGCCACAGCTTGGATGACAAGGCAAGGAGCTCCAGAGAATAAGCTGCATCCTTCTGATTAATGCTAGAAGTCTCACGGTTGTAGGCAGAGAATTGCTCCACAGCATGTTAAAGATCTTTTACCTCCTTTTGCGTGTTTTCTGTAGGGATGCACCATCTACATTTTTTCACTTCTGATCCAGTCCCGATACCTGAATTTGGATATCTGCTGATACCGATACTATTCCGATACCAGAGCTCTGTTTGCTTTAATATTATTATTATCATTATTGTTGATTTTGTATGAGGCTGTAATAAACTCCTCTCTACAGGCAAGTATGATGTACGTATGTATGCATGTATGTCCCAAAAGGCAACTTGAGGTAAGTATAAGGTCAGAAAAGCAGGAAATCCTGTTCACAGGAAAAATCCCATCATGAAAACAAATATGCAACTGTAAGGATTTCAAATTGATTGTCAATATTTATGAAATTCCAAGACAGTGTTAAACTACTAGTACAATATACACTATCAAAAAACAAAAAGTACCTGTCATATTAATCTGAACAGCACAGATACGAATCAAGTAGACACTACTATGTAGTAGTGTTGTCACGGTGCCAAAATTGGGACCCACGGTACGATACCACTGAAAGTATCATGGTTCTGAGTAGTATCATGACAGCGAAAATGAGGCAGATGTGCCTTTTGTCATTTATAAAAAGATAAATCACTTTTCTATAATACATCAATGATATTTCAATGGAATAAATTACTTATTGACTTATTCATACTTCAAAAACAGCATCAATGATTAACATAGGGGGGATCAAAATAAAATAAATAAATGAAATACAAATCAACCAGCCACCCTCCTCCCCTGACAGTCCCTTCATAAGTAACAAACAGTCCCTAAAGTGCGGTGAGGTTTGTGGGCCGTTACCTGCCACAGAGAGAGAAATGTGAACGGCTCGTTTCTCCTCTGATACATCACATACCTGTGTGCCGCCACAGTTTGGCTGTTCAGGTACTTTTGGGCAGTCATGACGCCAAGAAGAGGACATTATTGGACCTGGAGTCGGACTTCTCTGTCACCAGTAAGCCGTTCTTGTGCCGCGCAGCACTATGAGCCTCCGCCGTATTTGACTGGAATACATTCCCGTCTGTGTCTGCGACCCCCGTTCAACCCACAACCGGCAGGATTTGCCTTTTGTTTCTGCTGCTGGTTGAAATCTGTACTGGCACAGCGTGCTGAATGATTTATTTTGCATGCACAAAACTATTTTTAGTCGCAAATGCGAGTAAAATGCTCACACCGTAGAGCTCTGTAGTGGAAAACAAATCACTGTAGCATATATAAACAAATTGAACCTACAAGTAAAAATAAATTAATAATAACTTTCACTGCTTAAAGATACTCAATAGCTTAGTTCATACCTGAAATGTCACTGGATACAAACCACTGCAGCGGCATATCGAGTGCCAGGTGGACAGCGCGCGCTGTTATGTAGCAATCGTCATATCATTCCAGCACACAACGTGAAAGCAAGTTTTTTATTAAGTTTATTTACTTTATTAATCCCCCTGAGGGGAAATTCAATGTTTTCACTCTTGCTTGTCAATTACACACAGGTCCAAAAGACACACACATGCACAAACAGGACCTATACATGCACAAAGTGGAGAGATGTCATCAAAACAGCGACTCGAGTCGACTCGAGTCCAAGTCACAATGACTTAAGTCCCCATCTCTGATGATTAGGCAGAAGGCAAATAGACTGAAGTGCTGGCTGGAGGCTCGGAGACGGGGGTTCGAATGGGGGCTAGCTGGCTGGGAAGCAAACTGGGGACCAGCACAATGGGGGTGAGCAGTCTGGAAAGCAGACTTGAAATCAGGAGTGCTAAAAAAAAGTTAGCACTCCTGACTCCTGAAAGACAGTTCACACACATCTATGCACACACACACACACACACACACACACACACACACCAGCACCAAAGATCTATACAATCAGCACAGCTTCAAGATGGGCACCCAAGATTAGTGTCACTAATACCATATCTGATCAAATGTCTCCCCTTCTGTTCCTGAGAGCTGACACTGAGTAATAACCAGACAGGTGTTTTTTGCAGAACATAATGATGTCATCGTAAAGTTGACCTTTGACCTTTTGAATATAAGATGTCATCATTTCATCATGTGCTACTAAACATGTGTGTGAAATGTCATAATTAGCATATGAATTCTTATATTATAGCCAAAGATATGTTTTGTGAGGTCACAGCGACCACCATCAATTCTTCCTTGAGCCAAACTCAACGTTTGTGCAAAATTTGAAAAAATATCACATTGAGATATCACATGTGGGATATCACATTCAACAGAATAAGATGGATGCAAGGTCACTTTGCATCATAAGATGGATGCAAGGTCACACTGACCTTGATCTGATCAGTTCATTCTTCAGTCCCACTGAATGTTTGTGCCAAATTAGAAAAATTTCCTCAAGGTGTTCTTGAGATATCGCATTCGCAAGAATGAGAAAGACAAGATCAAGGTGGTATTGTTGAGTGGATGTTTCAGCCAAATTTGAAGAAATTACCTAAAAACGTTGATATGTCGTGTTCATGAGAATGAGATGGATGAACAAACTAAAAACATAACAGGTATGTCCAATGAGGAGGTCTAAAAATATGGAATGGAGAAAGGAAAGGTGACTGATCAACAACTCACCACCCTCCATCTTCTCTTTGTGTTGTCGGACCTTCTCAGGGAGAGTCTGAGTCAGGAAGACGAACCGGTCCTTCTTCAGGTGCTGAGCAACTACCTGCTCCTTTGCATCAATTGACAGGTAGTGCTCTTCTGCTCCATACTTTGGCCAGTGGACAAGACCAGCCCCATTAGGAGACCTACACACACACACACACACACGTTAAAACAGGTCTTATCTCCATGTGTTTCATAACTTGTAATTGGGGGGGGGGGGGATTCCTACCCTGTGTGTGCAAAGTTGCCCCAGTAGCTCATCAAGATTCTATTCAACTCTTCCTCCTCTTCAGAGCATGCCTCTATAATGATAATAATGTGGTAAAATGCTTTGCACTCTGGGAAACCCTGAGGTAACCCAGATCTTTGGTGGTCTGTTAAAAGAATAATTTATATATGTTGCACTTACCAGGTATTCTGACATGGGTAGTTGTGAAGCAGAATCCTAATACTGTTAAGAGTTCATCTCCATGGTCACACCCAACAAAGCTAGGCCTCTTTTTCTGCAGGATTTTGGGAGCATACTGGTACTCATACAGGTAGACAGGGGCACCTGCATCTGATAACAAATGAATGGCTTTGGTTTATCTTGTTTATGAAAGTGTGTGACAGTAAATATTAAACAATTGTTCTCATAGATTTGCATAATCTTGTGTAAATAAAATACCTCTGTGGGCATTAGCAGTCTTAATGGCTGGAATGTTGAAGAGTATATCTCCCAGCAACTCAGTGAACCCATCTCTGTTTTTCACATGATCCTCACCAGTTCCAATGTATTCATCTACCATAAGTTCACTGATGATCGCACCATTGGGCTTGAGAAAATGAATAACACATCTGTCAGAGAAGTTTGAGCATGATGAAGCAGAGTAATATTATAATGTCCAGCACTGTCAGCCTTACATCAGGGTGGAACATGATCATCGCGTTGAGGACCTGCTCCCGATCTAATCCCTCTGTCCAGTTTGAAGAGAAAAAGAACTAAGGGAAGACAATTACTATTTCAAACGTGCACAAAAGCAAAACAAAATCAGGTTTTTATGGGCTCATCTGGAAATGGTAAGCTCCTCAGTACACAAATGTCAGTAACAATTTAGCATTCACACTTACACCAGGAAGTAACCAGCCCCCTTCATCATTATTAACACCAGTCATGAATGGTGCAGTGAGAAGATCATGAGTACGGTACAGCTCATCCACAGGTTTTGTGATGAAGTGTCCATCAACATTTATAGCAATTCTAATAGTTGGATCCTTGAGTCAATAAAACATGAATCAGAAAAGGTAGAGACAAAGACAACGTAAACAAAGTGAAGATTTCATAGAAATTTTGCAGAAGACATTATAGGCTTATTTTCAACAAAGTTTAGCATTTGATATCTCACCTGTCCAAAAGTCACAACCGTGTCAATATCAAGGCTTCTCATGCAGTCAGCAATCTTCTGTGTGCTTTCAAGGCTACAGCCAGATGCATTTGCTATCATCTGAGGACAGATATGTGAGATCCATCTCAACAATTTAGAAAAAGAAATGCATTGTGATATTCTCAATATTGTGAGCTGAAGAATGTTTACACACAAAAATAAACACTGATATCAACCTGCGTCACTGGTAGAGGATCATTGGTGAGAAGTAAACTCATTGAAGCAGTACCACTCTCAGCAATGGCATGGTGGAACAGGCCTTTAGACATTGGTGAGAGAAGCTGTAGATTCAAGCAACATAAAAATAGAATTACCACCTTGCAGTTGTATGCCTCTGCAAACCTATCAAGTTGCACTTATAGTTTACATCTATGTCTGCGACAACATGGATGGTTCACACACATCTTCCCCCCGAACAGCACAGAAGATCTATACAATCAGCACAGTTTCAAGGTGGCCACCCAAGATTAGTGTCACCAATGCAATATCTGACCAAAAGTCTCCTTTTCTGTTCCTGAGATACGACATTGAGAAATGACGAGAAAAGTGTTTTATGCAGAACATTATGATGTTGCAGTAAAATTGACCTTTGACCTTTTTGATATAAAATGTCATCACTTCATATTTTATTCAGCCACACATTTCTGTAAAATTTTGGTTTTATTAGTGTATAAATTCTTAAGTTTTGGCCAAAATCATATTCTTAGTATACAGTGACCTTGACCTTTGACTTGTGACCACCAACTTCCAATCAGTTCATTGCTGAGTCCAAGTGGATGTTTTTTTCTATCAAATTTGAGGAAATTCCTTTGAAGCATTCATAAGATATTGTGCTCCAGAGGTTGAGATGGACGCAAGGTCACAGTGACCTTCAGTCACCAAATTCCAATCAGTTCATTGCTGAGTCCAAGTGAACGTTTGTGCCGAATTTGAGGAAATTCCTTTGAAGCATTCTTGAGATATTGCGTTCACGAGACTGAGATGGACGCAAGGTCACGGTGACCTTCAATCACCAAATTCCAATCAGTTCATTGCTGAGTCCAAGTGGACGTTTGATCCGAATTTGAGGAAATTCCCTCATGACATTCTTTAGACTGTACTTTTACATCAATAAGATGGATGCAAGGTCACAGAACCTTGACCACTGATCTCCAACATCTAAAGAGTTCATCCTTGAGTCCAAATGGATGTTCGTACCAAGTGTAAAGAAATTCCCTCAAGGAATTCATGAGCTATATCGTTCATGAGAAAAAGACAGACGAGGTCACAACGACCTTGACCTTTGACAAAAGACCACCAAAATCATATGTTTATCGCTGAGTCCAAGTGCACAGTTGTGTCAAATTTGAAAGAAATTCCCTCAGTGCATTCTTGTGATATGGTGCTGAGGAGAATGTACAGATGGATTAACTGACAACCCGAAAACATAAAGCCTCCGCCCACGGCTATGGTCAGCAAATGCCAAAAAACAAAAGCAAAAGTTTATATTAGGTTTAGTGTAGTGTAGAATTAAGTGGCATCAAGCGGTGAGGTTGAAGAACTGAAACTCTAAATGTGAATGGCCCTATCTAAAGCCAGTGTTTGGTTTGTCTCTTCTTGGCTATTGGAGAACAACATGAAAGACTGCTCTGTTTGTGGATATAAACAGTTCATTCTAAGGAAACAAAAACACAACAGTTTTTATTTTCAGGTGATTCTGAACTAATGAAAAGATAGTTAGGAATATTATGTACCATTTCTGTTGAAAGATACCCCTAAAGCCTACACACTGGACCTTCAGAGTGCTTAATCTGCAGATTGATCCTTACATGGAGGGATACGCTGACTCCGCCAGCAGACTCCCCAAATATGGTAACCAAATCTGGGTCTCCTCCAAAGTCATGGATGTGCTTCTGGATCCACCTCAGAGCTTCTACCTGGTCCAACATGCCAAAATTTCCTGAAATGTGCTCATCTCCAGTGCTGGATAGAACATACAATTATTAACTACCAGGCTACCATTACATCAGCTATAAAGTGATGCAGTTTTCATTTTTTTATTTTTCCATGTGGCACTGATCAGATTAAAAGTAGTAGAATATAAACATAGTATGTTTGTTCTGACACTAATAAGTGATTTGAGTCTTTTTACCTGAGAAAGCCCAGAAGACCCAAGCGGTACTGGATCAGAACCACAACCACATCTTGGTAAGCAGCCAGGGCTGATCCATCATACACTGAAGCTGACCCCATAGAAAACCCTCCACCATGGATCCAAACCATGACCTAGTAAGGTAATGAAAGACTTTGATCTTTTCCACAAAGCATAAAGTACATTTCATGACATTCTATCTGCACAAAATATTGATTAGACTACATCCAAGACTTGAACCTGACTAAAATTTAAAACTGATGGTGATGGTGACAAAAACAGGTCTCTAAATATGGACATCATAACTCATGATGCCATGGACGGTTAAGAAAGCAATCAAACCAACTTCTCCATGAACATTATGCAAAGTTATCTGAAGCTGAATCTCTGAGCAGTATCAGTCCAAACGTGCAGTAACTTACTGGGAGCTTGGCATTGTGCGCTCTGTTTGCAGGAGTGTAAATATTGAGGTAAAGGCAGTCCTCTGAAATGTCTGGGATATCTACCAACAAGCCACCGAGTTTTTCAAGCAGATCTATAGTAAACTGTTTGTGTTGAACACACCTGAAAAAAAGAGACACATTTTCACCATAAATTGTGGACATAATTTCTCTAAGTGTGTTTTTCAACAACTGAAGCACATGCAAACCTTACATGGGTGGCTGCTGGGTGGCGTCTCTCACTCCTTCCCATCCCTCTACAGGCTGGGGTGGAGCCAGTCTCAGAGCAGGGCCTACAGGTGGCTTGGCAAATGGGACACCCAGGTAGGCATGGACCCCGCTCTCCTTCCCCTTCACACTCACATATTGACCTCTCAGGCTCCCGAGCTTTGTGTGGACTTCAGGTCCTGTCAGGATGTCAGATATTGGGGCTGAATCAGAATCATAATATAACACAATATATCTCGTCACACCATCTGGTTGTTGGTTTGTTCTAGCTTATGTTGCATTCACAAAGTGGACACAATACCTTTTCATTTGATATCAGCTATGCCGTGCTGTTTTTATAACTCAAAAAGATGTAACTAACTAGTACAGAAACAAATGATTGGATTATTAATAAGTCAATTGACCAAAAATGAATCAAGAACATTTTAATAGTAGGCCTAATCATAATTCAATAACAAGTAAGTCATTTATCAAGTAAAGGTGGCAAACATTTGCTGGTCCTATTTTCTCAAGGGAGGTTGTGGCTCAGGAGGCAGAGTGCGTCGTCCCTGGCTCCTTCAGTCTGCATATTGAAGCACTCTTGGGCAAGATGCTGCAGCCTGAATTGCTCCCGATTACTGTGCCATTAGTGTGTGAGTGCATTTAAGCTGAGTAGCAGGTTGCGCCATGTATTGCAGCTGCAATTAAAAATGTCACTATTGGAAAGTGAGTTTTTATACTATTAATGATTCATCAAAACACTTAGTTACAGATGAATCATTGATGAAAATGATTTTTAATTGCAGCTCTATAATGAACTTTATGGCAGCCTAGATTAATTAAATACAGGATTAACCATGCAGTTACACAAGATTAACTGTGGTGGAAAACACACCCACCCCTGACACTGTGCAGGTAAGGTTGTAGAGCTTCACCCTGTTTCATCTCTCACCCACTGAACATAAAAGGCTATTGCTACACAACAGATGATTGCAAAATTTTAAGCACTGCCATTTTATTGTGAAATAAGTCGTTTAAATCATTTGACTGAATTGCATGTTGGTTTTCTGTCTAAAGCAGGATGCTTGCCCTAATGACTCCTTATTGTTTTGATGTTATCTGTACTCCCTGGTGAGTAAAATGTTATCACAATCGAAAAGACGGAAATAAAAAAAAGAGGAAAAGACAAACAGATTTCTCCTTTAAAGGGGATTGTGTCACATTACTACATTCTGGCAGTTTTATTACCATTCAGTATAGTATTCATGTACAGTAACGTTATACACAGTCATCCCCTTTCTCATGTTATCCTGCACCAGCATGAAGCCAGCAACAGTTACGAGCCTGGATAGGGGTGAGTCGCAACCTGCTTGGCTTCACCTTTGGACGGAGTCAGGATCGCTCGTATGTAGGTAAAAGATGACTTCAGGTGCAGTACAGTGCAAACAGGTAACAAGTGAACAACACATTCACTTTAAGAAGAAAATACACTATAAGTTGAGCGCGTTATTGTTATAACAGTGGAAGCAGATCTACGCACTTCTACCGGCAATGCTGATTGTTGTCGGATATAACTGAAGTTTTCTCATACTTACCATGTTGGTCTGCAGCAACATGGAGAAACAACACAAACGATAGAAAGAAGAAAGTTTGTTTTGCAGGGAACTTCATCGCAGTTGTCGCTGTATGGATTGTGACACTGCTGGCTTCTGCAAACAGGTAGCGGAAAGAGAAAATGATGCCTCTCACAAAGTTCCCCCCTTATAACTTTGACCAAGGCAGTAATGTAGCCTGGTGAATATTACGCGTAAGATAAGGCGTGACTCGGCTTCATGTCACATTCAGGTTAACAACAGAAGGCAGAGTTTCTGTCCCCGGACTGCTTATCTGCTGGCCAACACAGCTCAAAGCATTTCCTCATTAAGGTTCAGTGTCATCCGTCCTTCTGAGAAGCTAAAACATAAGTATCGACTTGTTTGTCCATATTTTAGGCTAATCTAATCATCTAATATAGTGGCCTGCAAAACAGTTACACTGTCATGACCAAAACTGAAGCTCATGAAGGTGTTTGCACTACAGAACAACATTTCACATGAGCCACACAGACACAGGGCCTCTGATAAAGGCTCTTGGGAACTGTAGTTGTAGAGTATCATTCAGCAGCATTACTGCAGGTGCACCTGACCACAGGAACCAAGAGCACCTCAACACTGTTTGGAGAAAAGTTACATGATTGTGGCCACACAATGCACACCAATGTATTCCCTGTATGTAGTCTTCATTACTGTTCAAGTAAGTAAGTAGTAAGTAAGTAGGTAGGTAGACATAGGTCACAAAGTGCTTCACAAGGGAAACATACAACAAGAAAGAAATAATAGACAAAGTGAAGAGAAGTGCACAACTTGCAAAACTATTTGCACACACAAGATAAAAAGAGGAATTCACACGACACAACAACAAAACACAAAATTTGAAAAAGGTACAGCTCTGGTACAAGTTACCCAAACGCCTGTTTAAACAGGTGTGTCTTTAGCTGGCTTTTAAAAGAAACCACAGAGTCAGCAGATTGTGAAGGAGCAGGTAGAGCATTCCATTTAGATACAGCTGCAAAAGCTTGATCACCACATCTTGAGGAGAGTGCAAGGGACATACAACAAATGTAGCGTATTAGATCGAAGAGTGCGAGCTGAAGAATACAGGTGAAGTAGTTCAGCTACACAAGAGGGAGACCGTGTAATGCTCTGTAAGTAAGAATGAGAGTTTTGAACTCGATCCTAAACTCAACAAGGAGCCAATGAAGGGATTTTAGTGTCGGGGTAATGTGAGAGTGTCTGTTTGATCTAGTCAGTAATCTGACTGCAGCATTCTGGATTGCTTGCAGTTGAGCAAGAGCAGACATATTCAGTGAGGAGAAAAGTCCATTACAGTAGTCATTGTGAGATGAGATAAAGGCATGTAGCTGTTCAGCAGCTGAAACAACAGATCTCAGTTTGCCTATATTTCTCAAGTGGAAAAACAAGTTTGGTCTGGTGCTTGGTCTGGGATTCAAATTACACTGACTGATCAAATATTACCCCTAACTTTTGCAGGCTTGAGTGAGCAGCAGAGGAAAGAGCCCTATTACTTTGCATGTTGAGGGGAACAACATTTTCAGGAGCAACAACCAGAAACTCTGTTTTATCAGAATTGAGCTGTAAAAAAATTTCTGCGGTCCAGATTCCAATCTCATGAAGGTAGTCAAGGAGCCTAGATAACCTTAAAGGGTCACCAGGTTTAAATAAGAAGCAGACCTGGATATCATCTGTATATGAATTATGCCAATGTTATATCTGTTTATTATTTGTCCTTATGGTAGCAAATATAGAGAAAATAAGAAGCCCACGAGCTGAGCCCTGTGGGACACCACAGGACAGTGGAGAGAACAGTTTCAGTAGAGTGCTGTTTCCTAAACCCTGACTCAAATCAGATTAAAAGTAGTAGAAAATAATCATAGACTGTTTATTCTAACTGTGCTCTGTTATTTGAGTCTTTTTACCTGAGAAAATCCAGAAGACCCAGGTGGTACTGTATCAGAACCACAACCACATCCTGTTAAGCAGCCAGGGCTGATCCATCATACGTTGAAGCTGACCCCATAGAAAACCCTCCACCATGCAGTCTGTCTCTAAATATGGGTGCCGTTATAACTCATAATGCCATTATGGATTCTTCAAGAAGCAATCAAGCCAACTTCTCCATGAATACTATGCAAAATCATCCAAAGCTGAATCTCTGAGCAGTATCAGTCCAGTCGTGCAGTAACTTACTGGGAGCTTGGCATTGTGCGCTCTGTTTGCAGGAGTGTAAATATTGAGGTAGAGGCTGTCCTCTGAAATCTGCACCAAGTTTTTCAAGCAGATTTATGGTCAATTGTTTGTGTTTAACACACATCAAAAACGAGACAGTGTTTTACTATAAATTGTTGACACAACCTTGTGTCAAACTGACAGTGTGCAGGTACGGTTGCAGAGCTACACCCTGGTTCAACTTTGTCCCACTGAATACAAAAGTCTGTTGTTACACAATCAATGATTGCAACATACCCTTTTAAGCACTACCATTTAATCCCAAAATAAGTTGTTTAAAACATTTGACTAAATGGCATGCTGGTTATTTATTTAGAGCAGAATGCTTGCCCTAATGACTCCTCAAGTAAAATTGTGCTGATCTAATCTCTACAGTTAACCTGATGAGCGACATGTTATCACAATGGGAAAAAATGGCAATTCAAAGAAGAGGAAGAAAAACAGATTTCTCCTTTGAGAAGGGGATGTATCACATTGCGCCATTCTGGCAGTTTTACACCATTCAGTATGGTAATTATATTCAGTATACACCCACAGTTATTCCCTTATTCATGTTATCCTGCACCAGCATGACGTCAACTAAAGAAATGATTAGTGTGAATAATTACACCTACAACTAATCTGCTTGGCTCTTTGAGGGAGGATTTTCACCTTTGGACAGAGTTGTCATCTCGAGGTTGTAAAGATGACTTAAGGTGCAATACAATGTAAACAGGTAACACAGAGTAAACAACACATTCTGTTCGCAAACATGTGAGCCCCCTCACCCCCTGTAGTAAATCCCAGAGGGGACCCCTGCACTACAGAGCAGGCAAACATATTACATAATGGGGATACTAATTGTTTTAAAAACTGGACACAATTTATTGTCTTTACACTACTGCGGTGTCTCCCTCAATAGTAATGAGGCTTATTCTTCCTGTTGATCATTACAGTCAAGTTGACTTGTTGTTTTGAAGTTTTCAGGCAGGGCAAAGGTCAGACCTTCCCAGGAGTCAAAACCAAAAATCAAGATTATCAAGCAGAGGTACAGAGGCATCAGACAAAGGTTCTAACACGGTAAGCAGGCACAGGTCAAAATCCAATAGGGCAATACAAACAACAGGCAGGATATGAAGCTGGCAGAAGCACAAACTACGACCTGGCAACAACAAAGGCAAATTGACTGGTTTAAGTACTGAAAAGTAAACAAGCAGACAGGCACAGATGTGTGGCAGACTAGGCAAGCAGGTCACTGATAGGCTGACAGTCATTACAGGGGGAGTATCAGTGGATTTGGGCGATGTACTGGTGGGAAAAGCTGACAGGTGCTGACTGGAGAATGAACTGAGGGGTGTGTGCAGGAGGAGCAGCAGGAGGGTGAGGCTAAGAGGAGCAGGAACTTTTTTTTTTAGTACGCAGTTAAAAGATGACTTCAGGTGCAATACCATGGAAACACGTAATGACAAGTCAACAACACATTCAGTTCTGTGAGAAACAAATTTAAAGAAGACATAAATATGTTTGGATGTAACCCCTTTGTCATCATTTTGTCATCATTTTACATGTAACTATTTACTCCCCAACACTGTTTATTACTGTCCATGTAACCACAAGAGGAAAAAAATAAATAAAACATTTTGGCTTCTTGCAAAGCAATTCACAAATCCAAAATCTGTCTATACTGGAACAGACCTTCAAGAAAGTATTATATAACTTGCAAAATGAAAAGCGCTTGAGAGGCAGGCCAGTTATGCAGAGATTATGATATTGAATCTTACTCGCCAACAAGTCGTTATGATGATATGACTAACCTACTGTAGGCTATTTACCTATACATACATATACACCGATCAGCCAAAACATTAAAACCACTGACAGGTGAAGTGAACAACACTGATCATCTTGTTACAGTGCAATGCTCTGTTGGCAAACCTTGGGCTCTGACATTAATGTGGATGCCGCTTGACACACTCCACCCACCTAATCACTAGTGCAGACCAGGTGACCATTGCACCCCGCAATAGCTATGGCCCCTGCAGCAGGACGGTGCAGCATGCCACAACACAAAAACTGCTCAGGAATGGCCTGAGGAATGTGACAAAAAGCTCAAAGTGTCGACCTGACCTCCAGATTCCCCAGATGATGCAATGAGGGTGTTTACTTGGTCTGCAACAATGTTCGTATCATCGTATGGGTGAAGTGCATCAAGTAGCAGCCACATGAATGCCAAGACCGAAGTTTTTCCAGCAGAACACTGCACTGTAACAAGATGATCAATCTTATTCACTTCACCTGACAGTGGTTATAATGTTTTGGCTGATCAATGTATATATAAATATACACTTACTTTCAAAATGTTGGCGAGATGTGAAGCAGTCGCTCTCATCTCTGTTAACTGCAATGTCAGCAAGGGCAGTGAGGCGGACCGTGGAGGGGCCCCCATTCAATTCTTAGTAAATCTTCGCAGCAAAACGAGCACTGATTGGCTAAATCTTGGTTAATTTATGGTAGCAGATGGAAGCGTAAGTCACTACCAAGAATGAACTTGACCCACAGGCAACAGGGAGCCCACTTCTAAAGATTGTGAAAACCAAACACCTTTCGTTGCGCCTTCCATGATTTGACCAATCATAACCCCTAGAACTTCGAAGCGTCAACGCAAAACCCGCCTCATCCTGAAATTGACTTCAAGTCTTTTGTGCATTGCAACTTTGTTCTGATAGTTGCGGACTGACTTCTTTTGCTAAAATTTTGGTAAGTTGCCGTGTTATTGTCTCAAAGTTGAAATATTATACTATTAAGTTAAATCAAGTTTGAAAAGATTTGTTTTAGATGTGGTTTACCTAATTATCCTGTTGGCGAGCCAGCATGCTAGCAGGCTAATTATGATAATTTCATATGCACTTAACCTGGCCTACTAATTTTCAAACAAACATCAATACCAATTTCCTTTAATTACCAGCTTTTTAAAATATAATTAGGTTTTATTGAATGCTCCTTATAACACTTAGTTGGGTGGCTTATTTTCTTACCTGCAAAGGACAGTTAATAGCGGCTAAGTTAGGCCATTTGTTAATAACACACGTTACCTAATCATGAGTACAAGTACACAGTTTATCAAAGTAATCTATTAAATTTTTATTCTTTATTTGAACCCCTAATTAGCTGAAACAGACCAAACAGATAGATGTGCATCAGCTAACATATTATATAATTAATAATACGCACTCTACTGACTAATGTACTAAAATAAGTACGGATGGGTCACATAATTACAACAGATGGGCCAGTGGCGCAATGGATAACGCGTCTGACTACGGATCAGAAGATTCTAGGTTCGACTCCTGGCTGGCTCGATATTTTCTTCATGGTGGGAAATCACTTTTCTTTATACCACCAGATACTGCCACCTGCCGGTCGAGCAAAACAGCCAATCGTGTTGCCTATCACCACCAAAACACACAAGATTTGACCAGTCCGCTCATTATCAACAGTTGTGAGTACACTAATTTCTTCCCCATTGTGGTCTATGTGTCTATATCGCTTTGTTTTGTCACACCAACCGCAGAGTTGACAGACCAGTAGACATACACTTAGCAAGAAGTCCTGAAAATGTGACAATTTAAATTTAATCCTGGGTAATCTGCCCACAGGTGACGGCTGTGGGCAGATGCTTTAATCTATGACACGAGGGCTAGAACGAAAAGATATTTGATGGACAATTCATTCTAGGGCGAATATGATACATACTATATATAAAATTACGACTTTCAGATACAGTACACGTCTGTCTTTTTAGCTGTTGTTATATAACCTTAGTTAGCGACCCCTCCAGAAATAAAGTTACCAAGCTTATTTTTGTCTTAGACATTTTTACGTTACTGAATTAACATTAAACAATCAACTTGCAGAATTAGCTTCAATGGCGGAGTATATGTACACATAGGTTACACGGAATATGTTTTCATTACTATCAGTGTAGTTACACAGAAATAATAGACATAAAAGCTCAAACTATCTCAATGGCACATTCCCCTGTTGTTAAAAATGAACGGATAAATAAAGAGTTAATGTTAAATCATCTGATAAGTTTTCGTGTTGCGTGTATTCTGGTTGCTAGCGGCGGCAGACTGCTTTCATCTCAGCCTTGGTTCCCCTAAATAAGTGAGGAAGTCTACATGTGAGGAGCAAGCGGAGGCAAGGGCTCATCTCTCGCGAGGAACGACGCCGTTATCGGAATCTCTACAAACAACACGAGAATTCATCATTCACACGGTAATATAACCCAATCTTACACGGTACATGTGTTGTGTGCCAGCAGTGGGGGAAAGACGCTGACTCAAAATCATGTTTTAATGTTAATTCTTCCAACAGTTCACGATTCTTGCATTACATCTCGGCGGCCTTTAGGCCTTACTAGCATGCTAACCGCCACGCTAGCTTAGACGGCGACTCATTTGAACGGCTTCAGCTTTAACGTTAGCACGCAAATCCGATTTTGTAGTAGCGCTAACCTAGCTAATATTAGCTAGTGTTGTCCTAGCCCATGCTAGCTAGCTAGTCGACTAGCTTTAATGCAAAATTAAATACTTAGCCGAAATGCAGTAGTATGAACAATAACTAGGATATATTCAAATAAATTACACAAATGCATAGCCAGCCAACACGTAAAGTTTGGCCACTCGGTTTGTTGTATTTTACACATAAATCGTATCGTCAACAGACCCCCGCCCAGTTAGCTAACATTAGCCAACTATGGAGTAACGTTCAAGTAGCAATCTAAACGTAGTTAGTAAAGCCAGTAAGGCTGGGCATGGTCGTAAATAGGTTATAATGTTATATTTAGAAAAGCAGGGTTTTGCAAAAAAAAAAAGAGCTATACCCTGCCCCGTTGCACCCTAACTAACTAACGTTACCAGAGCTAACTCAGGCTAACAACACCTGTCACTTAATAAACATGCTAGCGGGTTTTGCAGCTCCAAGTCCATTCAAATTGATCATGGCAAGATGTTCAACATCATCACAAAAATGCTCATGAGTATTTAAACTCTGGATATAAATGTAAAGAGGAATGGACCCAGGGGAAGACAGGCACATCATGCATCTGGGTGCCTCTCCTCCTCTTTACACACTCTCCCCATTCTGTCCCTGCGCGGGTCATGCCCCAGTCTATGCTATACAGATGTACAATTAATGCATTCCTGTTTGAGTCAAAGTTATAATGCATCCTTACATTTATTCCATAAACTGTAAGGTAAAGTTTTTTTTGTCATTGTCAGTGCATTATTCTGTACAGTGACTGCCTTGGCCTGCATTAGTTATAGTAGTTTTTTTCTTATTTTAAATAAAGACTTGGGTGTTTATTTTTTACAGTGGTCTCCTAATGTTGTTGTTTTTAGAAGCCATCAAATTCAGCTTTCACTCTCATGCTTTTATGTCATAAAATGCAAATGTATTCTGATGAAAGCTGTAATAAAATTCCCCAAATTATAGTAGATTAAATATTTTCTACATTTCATTTTGCTGTTTACATCAATACACTTGTGTCGGCTCACAAAATGGCAATTCCATGATCATACCTAAATAATAAATTTCTATTACATTACATTACATTTCTCTAACCAATTTGGACTTTCCATGGATAAGTATAATTACAGAGAGTAGACAAATAGGATATCAGTAGGGGACAGAAAATCAGGTTTGTGGTCAAAAAGATGTATAAAGCAGCAATTTAATACATGACTATCAAAACTCTACAACCAAAGACTAGACTAAATATTACAAACGAGCACAGTAAAGAGGCCGAACAATATTTGGTATTATACATAGTAAGTTCTAGTTGTTTGACAAACTAGTAGAATTTTAAGTGCACTGTCCCCAGTAATGCAGAAGCAGCAACATAAATGGCAGAATAATTTTCTGCTTTATGGTAGCATGTTAATAAAGAAATACTGTGCTGTCATGTTAAGTTAACCAAGTTTCCCTGCTTCAGTTGTGAACAATGTCTGCACAAGAGTTGGGTGAAATTGTGCAAATAACAGTGGAGGACTTTAACCAAGAAGACCGGACAGGTAAGATTCTTGCAAAACAATATAAAAATGTATTGTTTTACATCTATTCTAATCAGTAAGTAATCAATTGCTGTGCCTTAACATTCTCTGCCCTTTTAACCAGATATAGTTATGTTCCATTCCGGCAAGTGCAGCACGATCAAACATGGACATGGACGAATTTTTACCAAACTGAAGTTTTAATGTCAGTTTACTTTAGGTCAAGTGTGTGCTAAACAACTGTATTATTTATTATTCTACATGTTAAACACTATATAGGGTGGGGACACGGTATCATCAGATAGTCAATACTATTGCCTTGGATTGGATGACTGCAGCTTCAATCTGGGGCATCCCATAGTGAAATCTAAAAAGCAGGCTTTTATGTGTTGTTTTGAGGGTGTCTTTATATTTTATTAATGCCAGAGATGCTTGACAATCATGAAGAAGATGAAGAAAAGCCTCCAAAGAAAAAGAGGAAATTAAGCAACAGCCAAGAGAATAACAACAACCAAGACATATCTTTTATAAAGGTACGAGCTCTGAATGATGGACCCTGTCCAAAGGGCATATATTTTAATATTTTTGAAATATTAGGATATGATTTGTTAATTGAATTACACATACTGCATTTAATTCTTTGTTTTTCTAGAACATGTTGGTCTCATTCACTGCATCAATCAGCAATCGACTGGAGGGAATTGAATCAAAGTTACAGGCTCTGGATGCTACATGCAAAGCTCTTGGACGCAAACTAGACAGCATGGTGCCCTCTGCAAAGAGTCCAATCCAGGTTCCTATGGTTGCAGGGTCTCCTCAGGGGGCCACTCAGACGTGGAACAAAGTGCGCTGGTAAGACACAAGTGTTTCTCTACTAGCGCATTGTCTCCATGTTGGCTTAGAGTGCAGTCACTGGAGACTAATTAAAATTCTCAGGCCAAAGTAAGTGTAGTCTTTCATGTCGAGAAATTATTCTTGTAGTTATTTTACAAAGCTGTAGTGTGATTACAGGAGCTCCCAGAGCCATGTTGTCTACACTTATTTTAGACTGTGCAAAGCATGCATACCTGTGCCGCTTAATCAATGTGTTTTCATCTTTGTCCCTCAGTGTTGTTCCACAAACAAATGTGATAGTGAGCAGTGAGCACCCGAAGGGCACTCCTAGTCAAGAAGAAACCCCTCTGGAGAATCTGCTCAGCAAGTGAGTTGCTCACATTCACACTACGGCCCTCATTTATGAAACAAAGGTATGACAGAAAACTGGGCGTACGGTCATTTCCACACAAAGCTCAGCATTTATCACTGTGGACACAAGCGGAGGCTACAATCAAAGCTCATGTCAGGTCTCCACTCATGTATGCAAGTTTTAGTCAGTGTGGACTTGCAACAGCATAGTGGCTGAGCTGAAGAATTGTTATTAGACCATATGCTGACTGGCATCTATTTGCAGCCACATATTAATCATTTAAAAATGTATTACCTTTAAGAAAATATTATATTTTTTTAAAGGCCTGCATCTTCATGTGCCCTTTATCACAGCTCGCATTTGCCTGGCTCTATGGGACTGGCTTCAGGCTGACAGAATGCTGAACACCATCGTTTTTATTTTTTTTTACCACTGACTTAAACAAACTGTTTGGGCAAGGCGTTTAAACTGAGAATATAATGTGGTGGGATATTTAGATGACAGTTATTTTCAGCTGCCACATTTATCAACACCAGATCATTTCTATGCTATGGCGAGATAAGAAAGTTTAATGGTTCACATGTGAACTTTATTGTTAAATGATTTTTGCGCTTGCATCTGCACGGATTGATGAATTAGGGCCCATATATCTTGTGTGAACTGAGGTCAGAAATGTGCAAATCTTTCCTAACACAGCGCCTCACAAACAGTGTTGGGGTCATTATTGGAAAACAGTAAGCAAATGTACCGTCTTCCAGTTTTCAGTCCAGGCAAATGAGGATTGTCAAGAATCTTCATTCCTCATACAATGTGGCCACTGTCACGATCTGTCAGTATGTTAGACCTAATGGTTGTGCATTTTTGTGTTTCTTTATAGCACAGTGACCAGGAAGCGTCAGAACACAATCCTGGTAAAGGTGCCTGGCCCTGAGGAGAGTCAGGAAGAACAGGAAAGTGGCTCAGAAGCCAGTGACACTGTTTCTAATGGTGGCCATTCCAGCGGTGTGCAAAATGGCCCAAATGTCACACTCATCACACTCAATTCAGAAGGTACGACTTCACGCTGCTAATTTAGACACAGAAACAAACATATGTATGCTATTGCTCTCGTTCTCTTGTCGTCATTGAGTAGAAATGCATATTTTGGCTTTACTGACAAATATTAACGATGAGGTCATTTTTTTAAGGACTAAGGATTCAGCACATTTGTGAGCAGTCTCTGCATTTACTTTGAAGCCTCACATTGTGGTAAATCCTGATTAGTGCCATCATAGGTTGATCAGCAGCAAGAAAAACGACACTTTTACTGGTGTCAAAATCATATTTTTTAACCTTAGGCCATAGTCCTCCACTCAGGCAAACGAAATACAAGTCTCAAACTTCCAAATGATAAATGGTTTCATTTATGTCTTGCTTTTATTCAAAGCACTTTACAATTTTCCTGACACATATGAACTCACACACATGGCAGTGAGTGTGTGGCAGTGAACTACCATGCAAGGTGCCAGTCAGACCATCAGGGTTTGTGGTTCAGTGTCTTGCCCACGGACACTCTGTGATTAGCTGACGACAGGCTCTATCTACTGTATTGTTAAGAATAGACTTATTCGACGTGGCGAACGTGACCCTTTCAGATGGTCTCCATATTGAATGGAAAACAAAATATGCTGATGTGTCATGATCATGTCCCTGTGGTTTTGTCACAGACTGTCCTGATTAATACTCTGACTGGTCATTCATGTTTTCAGTAGCTTTGCTCGGTGCCTCTTGCCGAGCCAGAGAACAAACAGTTCAAACAGTACGAAATGTGCAAGCCCTAAATGAAGTCCACATTGTTGTTGCTGTGTTGCTATTGGCTGTGATTGTTGGTTTAGTTATTTTTCAGACTTGGAAGTTCTTGGTTATCTTCAAAGGCAAACTATTATTCATTTATTTGCAGCTGTAGGTTACTGTGATAAAACTGTTAGTCAGCATGAGCTTCATGGTACCATGTGGTGTTCAGGCCAGTGTGTCTTGGGCTGTGTTTGTGTGTTTGTACGGTGGATTTAACAGCTAACATATGCTTCGAGCAAACAGCCAAACCACATATTCTGCTTTTTAATAACTTTGATAATATGTTTTGTCCACAGTTCACCCACTCTCATTTACTGCCACATGGGTGTGCTATTGTATTACATGAAGTATCTCAGTGGCTCTCTACCAGTGTAGTATTTGACAACCTGTGACTCAACACAAATACATGTCGTAGTGTATATATATGCTGCTTTTCTTCAGTAAAGGAAAGCAAGGTAGAATTTACATACTGCCTGGCCTTTCAATATTAACAGACCACAGGTTTGCTGCAAGAGAGCTGTGTAACCATGTTTAAATAGCTGTTCCTTCTTGTATTCCCTTCAGATGATTATCCAGCAGGCACCTGGCTGGGAGATGAGAACAACCCAGAGATGCGAGTTCGTTGCCCAGTGTCTCCAGCTGACATGCTCCATATCACCACAAACTGCCGCACAGCAGAGAAAATGGCACTGACGCTGCTGGACTACCTGTTTCATCGAGAGGTCCAGGCCATGTCAAACCTCTCTGGCCAGGGAATACACGGCAAGAAACAGCTGGACCCACTCATGATCTATGGCATTCGCTGTGAGTCCTCTTGCAATGACATTATAACCATCTGGTATTGACAGTTGTATCAGTTTCATACCACCTGCTTTCCTTTGTGATAGATTTCTTACAGTCAAGCTCACCAGATGTGGACTGTGGCTATGAGCCTGCTATTGGCTTGTGATTTAGCACCCCCACTGTTTTGACGAATAAGGCATGCCTGCTTTGTTGATTCGGTGAATTGCTGTAAAGATCAACGATAAATAAAACAACTTTCTAACGCACCTCGGAAAAGCCCAGACTACATCTTGCAGGACTGTCATGCCCAACGTTCATCCTTTTGCCCTGACCCTGACTGATCCTTTCCACTTCAACCGAGCTTATGTGATATTGGCGTAATAATGTCCTGCAAGAGCCTCATGCGACTAGCAAATCGTCTCTGGTTTTTAATGGGGTCAGCAAGCTCCTCCAGAACTTAAGTATAGGCCGGCTTCACCTTCAGGGCAATGATTATCAAATTGTTTGCCTTTTTTATCAGCCAAAGCTGAATCACACAGTTGACATATGTTTGATACTGTTTTTGTTTTTTTTTTGGCGTTCTTTTGCAGAGAATTTTAATGACTGTATGTGCTTGCCTCCCAACGTGCAAATATTCGACCAAAACAAGTTTCCCCCCGAAACTATTTTGCAAGAGCACTTGTGCTGCATCCTGGGCTTAGCGCCACCCAACACAACTGTGATTCGTTTAAAACAATACAAACAAGCCAGAGTATTTTTGTCTTGTAACAGAATGTGCTTTTTGACATTTCTTTAGCACTGACAGCACTGAGGAAATAGATCTGGCTACCAGAGACTAGATTTCTGACAAAGTGGAGGTAAACTTGGTTGTAAACGAGCAAGTTTACAAAAAAGAGCATCTTTTTATGTACCATTTATTTATCGGCAAAATGGCCCACTAATAACTGCTAAGGCCGTTTTTAGTACCCATTATTTATCTCATGATTATTACATGATTTCTGCGTAGTTTTATCTATACTAACTAGTGCAGTGTCCAGTCCAAACATGAAAGTGGCGATTGCTTGCCGTATGGCGGTGATCGAGATTTGCTCATCCAAACAACCTCACTCTTGACACTGCACTTCTTTGGGTTCGGAGAAACGTTTATATATGAATAATATTAAAAAATGTACCTATTCTAAGTGATTGTGCCCTAAGAAAACGTACATAAGGCACCCAAAGGACCTAAAAAAAATGCAGCTCAGTGCATTATTATTCATGAAACTATCCAGCATTTTATTGGAAGTGATGTGAAAATGTTAAATAAATTCAACTACATTGTTCTCACAATACCTTAACAGTTACTTTTTCTTTTACTACTGCCAATACTAACATTCCAAGTTTGAGAAAGGGTGAAAAGTTGAGCTAGACAGAGTTTGCCTGGGGCCCCCACATCATCAAATGGCTCCTGGAAAAAAAAACCCTCAAGATCACGGCTTCTCATGGTCAGAAACATCAGTGAAATAAACTCAGCAGATGCGTCAATTTCCGAATAGGCGTATTAGTCGCTTGCTTTAACATAACCACAGCGGTTATAAAGTAGAGCGTGGATTTAAATGCCAAAGATACTTTGTCATCGGTAACATTATGTGTGTCTTACATAAGTCTGGCAAAGAAAAACACCCAAGCCATGGCTAGTCACGGTCAGAAACACAGGTGAGAAATGCTCAGCAACACATGCTAGGCTATCCACAGAGCCCCGAAGCCCCACACTCACTGCTGCACAGGGCGCTGTATACTTGTTTATTCAAAGTTTTTTAATATTCAATGTGTCGTGTGTCCAAAGTGCACCAAATTTGACACTACACGTCTTTGCGTCCCCAGCAATACACCTACCAAGTCTGAGGCAGATGGGATGAATGGCTCTCGAGATCCCTGAATGTCACCCACACACACTTATATACATACAGGCAGAGATTCCTTGCTTTATACTTAGATAAATCTCACTCAGTCTGGGTTTTAATCCGTGCCCCCTTACAGCAATAAATGAACTCTCTGAGACCTTCCCACATTTCATCTTCGTTTCATTACGAAGCGGCACCGAATTGAACACAGAAATAGACTGCAGTCTGTATTCCCAAGGCGAGATACAACAACATGCATTCATCATTGCACACACGCATTAATGTGCAACACATTTTATAACATACCAGACTGTAAATGACAAGCACATGTCTGGTAAGAAAGTTCCTAATGGAGTCACCCTCAATTCAGTGAACTCTTTGATTCCTGATGAGGCACAGTCAGGACTATGAAGGTAGACAGATGGATATTTATGAGGGTCCTGTGGCTATATACTCTATTAATATGGTTCATATTGCAGTGTAAAGAGGGGCTCTGTTAACTTAAGCCTCTCCTTGTGAGTGCAGCTTGTGCCCCCTGCAGGAGGTTTTAGTAAGTATCCCCCATGGCACACCTGTATTTCCTCTCAGCAGTGTGGGTGTGTGTAGTTACATGCAGATTCGGCCTGACATAGAGGTATGCAGAAGCTGGAGCATGGCCAGGTGACTTTTGGGTGACTCATGCTGCCTGCGTTAAAAAAAAAAGGAAAAGGAATGAAGGAGCAAGTGCCCTGCCTGCCTGTACAGGACCCATCAGGTGTGAAAGGGCTGCCATACACTGCTATGCCACTATCCGCAGATGCCCCTCAGCTCCCCCACTTGTCTCATTCTAAGCCCTCAGGCTGTGGCTTCGTTGTTAATTTATGTAGAAATGAGCTGTCAAGCGGCTCACCCTCTTCTAAACAGTTCATAACACTGAGGCAGACAGCCACTAAATACAGCTGCGCCCCCCTCACACCTGCTCATATCTCTGTGGAGGAAGAGACGGGGGACAGTCACGGGCCTGTGTTACCACTTCTTGTCAGAGGGTAAGTGGAGCGGAAGTAAACAGAATCAGGACAAGTGTTTACTTCTATTTTCATAAACGTGCACATTGATTGCAGATGAAGTGGCCCCATCACAAACACCTTGTCCTGTAGTCAATCAGACAGGTTAATTATGTCCACCATTTAAGTGTTCTACAGCAGCAATCTGTTTTCTTTTGCTGTTACAGTTGGTGTTAAATCTCCCTCGCTTTTTGCATGCCTCAGGTATTTATGCAAAGACTGTATGCAGGCTTTAGGACTGCATGCTGACATTGTTATGAGTTTTGGATAAAGTGTACCGATAAGCCTGCTATACACATATTTTATACCAACATCAAACCTTCAGATTTCAGTTTAAAACACCTACAGGATGTGAAGCTGACATCGCCAGCCTGTTATATTCTTGCAAGTGAATTATCCTGGCTGCTATGTCTTATATTGCTGCTGATATTGCCTTCGAATTTACGTAGGTGATGGCAAGGACCACTTGCTAGTTTCCTCCACTAAAGCTCAGGCAAAAGCTTTAGCTTCCAACACTACTGGACCAGATAGGAGGAGGCAAATTACTGGAGGGAGCAACAGAACATTTGGAAACAGAAAAGAAAATCGCCTCGGGATGAATCAGTTTTGAGATACGATTCACCCTTTCACAACCAACTCAATAATATTTGATTATTTATACAGTGTGTGATGACCTTTGACCTCTCTGTGTCCCCCACAGGCCACTTGTTCCACAAATTTGGCATCACCGAGTCAGACTGGTACCGCATTAAGCAAAGCATTGATTCAAAATGTCGCACCGCCTGGAGGCGCAAGCAGCGTGGCCAGAGCCTGGCTGTCAAGAGCTTCTCCAAACGCACACCTCGCAGTACATCCACGGGTAAAGTACAGATTATTATGAGGGGGCTGTTGAACATCTGTGCATCACGACCATGGCACATGCTTTGTAGGATGTTGTCTCGTTTGTGTGTGTGTGTGTGTGTGTTGTTTACGTGTAGAGACATTGCTGAACACAGTAACTCAAGATAAATACATAACAGCAACTTTGTGTTTACACCCCACGCACCCCTGAGGGTGAGGGCTGGAGTTAAATGCTTGTCCATTTTGCTGCACTAATATGCATAGCCAGAAGACAAGACAGTGATACAATGAAAGAGAGACACAGCAACAGTGTCAGGGAGACAGAGAAAGGAATTTTGAATCCATAAAGAATATGATGTGTAGTTCTCAAAACTTAGGTGACCTCTGTTTTTCAATGGTACTTGTAAGAACATTTACATTTAGTTATTTACTGTGCATCACTCTCCACAAACATATCTGAAAAATTTAACAGAGAACAGACTGGCCAGGAAGTATGGCAAACTAATATGACAAAAACAATATATATATTATGATTGGAGTAAATTCCAAAAAAATCACATCTAAGTCAACCATTTCAGCCTGTGAATCTTTGTGTTTAAGAAATCCAAGTAGTGTAGAACCTTTTTGACACCTTTCTTGTGAAATGCTTTGGGAGTGAGCACATTAACATTTATCTCTACGGCCTGAGAAAACTAAAACCTACCTGGCTCCACTCTCATAAGTCTCTATCAGCTGATAACGTTGCTATGTTTCCGCGGTTGTTTTTTAATCAAACAAGGTGCAAAGTTATGAGAATCAGCCGCAGACATGGAACAAGAGACATCTGCTGCTTGTTCTTTCGCAGGCCAGTGACACCACCACTGGTTTTCAGTTTGGATTGGTCTCATTTGGACAGCATTTTACATTAGTTAGCGCTTAGTTATGCGACTAATTCAAATAAACACTTGGATCTTTGAATTTGAACTGGTGCTCAAACCAATTTGAAAGCAATATCATCTTGATAGTGAAAGCTTTCTTAGTGTTTCCCACTGGTCTGAAATATACATAGGGTGGTAGCTGACGAAAAAAGTCTAATACATGTGACAAACAACATATACGTGTGACCTTTAACACAATATCGTGATTTATTGAATATTTCTATTAGTTTCATATGTATTGCATCATTATGCTCTTGTCTAATCACACGTAGGACTTATCTTTATCATCTCTCTGTCTCTGTCTGTCTGCTCGTGTGTGTTTGTGTGTCTGCTCATCTCTCTTGCTCTGTTTTTAGACACACTGACAAATAAGTGGGATAAAGAAGGTTATGTAATTTAAAAAAAGAACAAAAAACATCACAAACCGCAGCGATACTAGGCTATGTCTTATAAGTATTGTGGATGAGCAGATTTAGCATTTTGTTTTTGCATTTGTGTTTTCTTGTCTGTTTTGCTCGCAGAGGAAACAGACCAGATGCCAAAACTATTGCTACAGATTGAGAACCGGTGTTGTGTGTGTTGTGCTGGAGACTGTTTACCCATCGATATGTGTTTCCCCCTAATTAAATCTGAGTAACCATGGAAGGGGGACGCTATGGGAAGCATCATTTTTACAGGATGAAAACATTATTAGATGGGAGAAGGGATTTTGACACAACATTGGCACTTCAGGGTGCTTCTGCCTCGGCCGCAGTAGCAGAGCAAACAGGTGTGGGAGGGGCAGAGAGAGGAGACTTTGGTGGCCGTTAATATACCTGGGTGGTCTGGCCAAGTAAAGTATGTGTGAGTTATTCAGTTGGTCAGTTCTGAAATGACCAGTGACCTCCCAAGTCTTGTAAGCAGGGTTAGCGGCTAACGAGGCAGACTTGCCGGCAGTGTATCAGAGCAGAGAACACTTGCTTATTTTTTCTCCATTTAAAAAAAATATATTCTTGCCGATTTTTGTAATCATTCAAATTTGGCTGGGTGTTTAATAAACCATTTTTATTTGGTGTGACAATCATATTTATTTTTGCTTTGCCCAGACTCTCAAGTTCCCCCTTTCTCTCTCAGTGCCTGTTTTATTACTTTCATGCAAGAAAACGACTGTACGCAAATACTCCACAAACACAGTCACACACAGTAAACTCATAGAAGCATTATTTCATCGCCTATATCAAAGCTATTTTAGGACCTGAACTCAAATGCAGATACAGTGTGTATTGCTGCAGATGGTTGTAATCTGCACACAATGCGTGCTGTCCTTCCCTCCCTGTGAGCCGTCACCTCTCACCTCTGACCAGGGAAAAGAGAGACTGCAGGGGAAACCCAAATATCCTGTGAGCACACACTAGGGGTGGATTGCCAGGCCCTTCCTCTTTAGGCCACACACACCCCCAGAGTGTACAACACAAATACTAGTTCAGAACGTACATGCACAAACATGCAAAGACACACACCAAACAATCATTCCTCCCCTAATCAGATTACATGTTAATGGACCGGAAAGAGGTAATTCTTCTGCTTTTAAAACCATTATTTATCAGTGAACCAGCATGGAGAGCTCAGAGCAAAACTGTAGTTTTCACAAGCCACCTGGCTCTTGCTTCCTCATCTGGCAAACAAAAGTACTGAGGATTATTTACATACATAGAGTACATAACAGTAATAACGAAAGATGGGATACAGGCATACGTTTCAAAGCAGCATGACACAAAACAGAACATTTGAGGTGAAAGTGATACGCGCTGTATGTTTTATATCGTTTAAAGCTGCATTCCTTTCTTTATGCTCAGAAAAAAAGTGGTCAGACTGCCTTTCTCTGCGCCGTTAATGTCTGTTACAGGAAATGACCTCACATTTTTTCAGTCCTCATTTCTCCCAAATGGTCTTTTTATTGCTGCACAGTTTGATGTCTGATATGAGAAGGTGTGATTTTTGTTTATTTTGTGGCCTTTAGTGCAGACTCCACTGTTGCTATGTGCTCTGCTATCTTTGATTACTGACGTGGTCTCGATATCAAGGGGTTGGTTTGGAGCTGTGGCGGGTGATGTGTCAGGTCCACACAAGGGTTTCTGACTACTGCTGTGATGGCGGGTGTTTAGACTGAGGCCTGGAGTTTGTGTTTGGCTGCTTGACCCAGAGTGTGTTTGGATGGCTAGCTGGAGAGTCCTTGTTGTGTATTAAGGCGTTTGATAAAGTATAAACACGGCATCATCCAGCAGATGGTCTGAAAATCTGCCAGTTTTTTTTTTTTTTAATAAGAGGTTACTCAGGCCCTCTGCATGATGTGTGGGTGTGTGTCAGTTTATGTGTCTTAGAGACGTCATCCTTATTTCCTATGTGTGAATCATTTGCACTGTATTCCTGACCACCGCACACATGAGCACACCACTGACCATACTGCTTGTCCTCTTATACAGAGGGAGGCATGGCAGAAGAAACGGCTCACATTGAGACCGCCACCCAGCAGACCTTGCACTACACACTGGCCAATCAACAAGTCCAGTTTCACCGTATTGGCGAGGATGGACAAGTTCAGGTGGTGAGTGTCGCACGTTTCAACCCTCAATCTTTTTCTGAATCCATGGGCAAGTATTTTTATATATGGGCAAAGTACACAACAAAGCATTCTCTGACAGCGAAGTTCTTCAGACGGTAAGCAACACTGGGTACCTGCTTGGATCCACAGGTCCTCACCGCGCTCCTCATATGAATAGACATCTAAACGCCAGGTGCACTGTGTGAAAACAGCCTTTGTGCACTCCTTGCTGTTACAACTGTGTTTTCTTCGCAGCTTATCTTAAAACTAAACGTAAAATTACCTGATGCCTCCAGTCTTACGCAGATGCTCTGCCATTATGTCCATTTTAGAAAACACTTACATAATTCAGGGAACTCAAAAACAGCAAGAATCAGACTCAAAACTTCAATTGAACTCTCTCACATTTGAACTGTCAGCGGGCAGGTGTGTGCATGAGACAAGCATGACCGTGACAGGTTCACCGGGCTGCACCTGGTTGACGCTCCACCTGTCAGATTTCCCGCCTCTCCCTACCTGCCTGCTCACCTCTCACTGAAAATGAATTACTATCAATTGCTTCGCGTCTGAAAAGACCTTAAGAGTACGAGACTTCATTCTCTTTTCTCACACAATATTTATCAGATGTATATCGTACAATTAGCCTCCTTTTTGTTCCTCGCTGCTGCCGTATGAGGTTCCCATAGCAGGGTTTGTAGTGCAGAGGGACAGATCAGTCCACCCACCACAGTGACACATACAGCAGAAAAATAGTGCAGCTTATGTCAATGAAGGCGTTACCCAATGCGTAGGGACTGAATGACCTTGTACAGCTGCTACGGCCAAAGGTCACAGTCAGGCCCACTACAGCGTCATGGGTGGGCTGACAAGGAGGAAGTGACTGGACCTCTCATATCTTGTCTTCTGTGGGCCCTGAAATCACCCCAAATAGCTACTTTTAACAAGTAAGGAGCCGCTTGATTAAACTCTGTGGCCTGATGAAGGTCTTACAGAAATCCAAGTTTTGAAGTACACTGTGGAGTTGATCAAATGGATTAAATCCCCTGTATTAGTTCAAGGTTTATCATTGAGGCTACAGTTATTAATTGAGTGAGAGCAGCTTTGGCCCAGTCTTGTTTACATGTTGTAACAGCCGGTGACAGATAAACACAAGCTGTGAGACAGTGTTTGTTATGAGGGGTTTTGCATGAGGAAATTAATACAATGTTCTCTTGTAAGTGCTACAAGTACATGTGTGTGAGTTGCAAAGTCAGCGCTACCAACTGACTGATGTGATTATGCTACATGAGCATTAGAGGTAATTTTCACTGTGCTGCGAGGCTCCACCTCCTCTCATTGGTGCACCCACCGTATGTAATGACAGCGCTACAAAGCTACCTCATAATTTACAGTGTTTGAGTATTTCTGTTGTTAATAGGTTGCTACGTGATGCATGGGTCTGGACACACTGATGATAGGTGGCTCGCCTGAGAAAACGAACAGGCATAAAAGATGGAGGGCGGACAGGCAGGAAGTGAAGTTAGGGAGAAGGTGGAAGAGTGGGAGAGGACGATTCTCAGGAGCTCAGTGTGCAGTTATTACCCTCCCAACGCTCTGCGGAGTATTAAAGGATGCAGCTGAGCCTGAAATTTATGAGCGCTGCTAATACAGCAGAGGAAATCAAGTATACTTAGCGGCTGTGATTCAGTGCTGTGACAGTCGTCTGATAATTACTAAACAAAATTTGTTGCCAGATTACACGTACCACACAAGGGCTGCCTGTTAATGATTTTTAATCACATTCTGTACATGGCAGCTAAAATAAAGCTCAAAGGATTGAGTCACTGTGTTTCAAGTTTGTCTTAAAACAGTGTTCATATGCCCATATACACACTGAAACAGGTTTTGCTTGCTGTAATCATTCCTCCAGTTGATACGAGCCATCGAGCGATCCATTCCTATCCCTTCCTTCTGTGATTTCAATGTAACTGATTTTTTTTTTGTTACTGTTCTTCCACTGCAGCTCAAGAAGGAAATGCTGTCAGTGGAAAAACAAAGAAGACTAAAAAGCCTCACTGTTGGAATGAATCCAGTTGATTTGTTTAATTCAGACTACTGAAGCCTCACATAAGCCTTTGAATGCATTTTTGCACAAAATGAGGACTGTGGATTTTGATCCCCATCCCTTGTATCAGATGTGCTTTAGCTTTTCTTGATTTCTTGATCACGTTCATGTAATTGCTCCAGCTCAAGCTGGTTCTCATCCTTCGTCTGTGTCTCCCAGATTCCACAGGGTCAGCTGCACATCGCCCAGGTGCCACAAGGAGAGGAGGTGCAGATCACACAGGACAGCGAGGCAAGTGTGTTAGTGTGTGTTTTTGTGAGAATGAGAAAGGGAAAAGAGAAACAATCAGCCACTCCCTGTTTTTGAGTCATTCTTCCTGGTATATTGAATTTCTTAGCAATGTCATTGGTCAGGAGAATTTGTCTCCAGACAGTAAATAACTATTACAGTGAACTCATGCTTGAGAAAGAAGTGGCTGACTGGGAAGGAAAATAATGTTGTCTACTTTTGTGTGGGAATGTCAGTATGTTGTGTTGGTAACATGGTTTTTAATTTGGTCCACTTCGGGCTAGCTGATGACTTGCAGTATTTGACTGGCTATTTGAAATAATCGTGGTAACCCATGATCACCCTCAGACATATGGCAGTTTCATGACCTTACAGACACAAAGACACATTATTTTTATTTATTTAGTGAAGAGTGGACTATTTATTAAGCTGTTTTTTTTAGAACAGTCAACAATCACACAAATTGTGGTAGAAGTAAAGAGATAAGTCTATTATACATTATTTGGGTCAATAATGAGAACTGTTGTCCAGCGCATTACTTTACAAAGCTACATTTCCCTTTTGATGAGGCTCTCTGTCATGTTGAAAGCTCGCCAAGTGTTTCTTCAGAAAATTAGGGTTGATCCTCCTTCAGCTCAGTGGAAGAAAAATTAATCTAATTTTTAGCTACACCCATTTTCCAATGATTGATCAAATTCGTGATTGCACAACTCACATTTTGGAGACTAGGTTACTTCTAAGAGAAAAGGAAGAGCCATGTAACGGAGCAAGCTGTTATTTTTCACCTGTCAAATAAGTTTAAGAGTCATTAAACATGTGTCTTCAGAGCCCTGTGTGTTTGTGTTTGCCCGTGCAAATAGCCATCCCAGTGAAGCTTAATGCACCCGAGTAATACCTGACAACATTTAAGTCATTAGTGAGTTTTAGCAAAAGCAGATGTTCTGTAATGTTTATATATCCGCCTGCTTTTGCATGGGGTTATGGCTTTTGTTTCCTAATAATGCCCAGATGTCTCATGTCCCCCCACCAGACATGCACTCTGCATGCACACACAGCGTTTGCCTGCCAGTTAAAATCAAAATCTAACTCCAAACCACACTGACTGCTGAAGAGGAATTTCCACATCAGCATCATTGTCGATGATTTTTTCGAGGATGTGGAAGAGAGATTTATTTCAAGGCGCCAGTCTATGTACACACATACACATCTAATCACATACTGTATATGATATTTGCCACGCATGCATGACAGCTTGAAATTTATGCAAAAGCAATTGACACCTTGACCAAGTGTTTTTCTCATTTCCTGTTCAGTTGTGCTAAAGGACACTCAGAGGAAGAAATGCACGATTGAGTGAGAGAGACGGAGTGAATTGGAGGCAGAAAAGCTCTAAAGCCTTTCCTGCTCTTTGTGGCTGAGCCCAGATTTTTTTCTTCCCCTCCCCTTCCTATTCCATGATATTGTTTGTTTTTTGGAGTTCAAAGCTTAGCAACAAAATCCCACTTCTCCCAACTGCCACTCAGAGAATATGTTTTCATTAGGAACGGGCCCCTTTCATCAAAGACACTGGTTTTAGCGTGCTTGAAAAGGAAATGAGCTGTTTGAGAGATTACACCGCTCTCTGGCCATATGGCAGCTCAGACAGCATTTGATATATATACATGAAATACAATTAGCAGGAGAAAACAACTGAACCTTGAGGGCTGGCTAAATATGGCTTATATGATGTCCTCTCTTATGTGGTCTTGTAAACATCACTGTGGGTGTTCAGAGACTTTACGATGGTCATTGTATCTCGATGAGACTGCGATGGGCTTGCGCCTTTGCAAATGGCTTTCGTTTCTGTTTTTGTTTACAAGAGCCTTGATGTAGCCAGAAATGACACAATTGTTGACAGATATACAAGGACATTGCCTCCACCGCTTACTCTTATGTCATCGTGCATAAAAACTCCTCAGTTCTGATACTTAACAGATATTGTTGCTATCATGCTGTCACTCCTCATTGATCACCAGAGTTCAGTTTAGCATTATGCAATGGCTTGAATCACGCAGGTTAATAAATGGGCAAGATGTATCGTTTTAATGGCTTCATGTTTGCTGGTTATAACAGCTTAATAAGTGTGTGTGTAAAATATGGCATCAGGCTTTTGACATAACATGTCACTTCTATATTTCAGGGAAATCTCCAGATCCACCAGGTGCATGTTGGTCAGGATGGACAGGTAAGAACTAAATGGGAATAAGCTCATTAAGCCACGCTGTAGATGATAAACCATATATTTGCGTCACTGCTTAAAAAACAAAAGCTGGATAACAGTCATGGTGGATATGCTGGGTTTTGTGTTAAGCTTTAAGATAAGATGAGATCGGTTAAGATAAGATAATTTTATTGTCTCAAAGGAAATTTGTCTTCTGCATGACATGCAATATGTTACAAGACATACCACAGGACAAACAATATACAGTGAACAGCAAGTTATCACATGACTTAGACAGCATGTTTTAGTTTAGTTTTGTCAAAGGTGTTTTGGAGGGATGCAAGTTCTGTCATCCCAGTCACTTTCATTCCTAGTTTTACCAATTTGCACCATACCATGATGCCAAGCCGTATCTAATAATATATCTACCAAGCACTGCATTGATCTCTGTACCTACACCAAACAATCTCAGTCTTTATGCAGTGGTCCTCATCAGATCTTTCACAAGTGATCCATGTGTCTGATGACCCTGTACCAACAGGGCTGTCTGAGCAGGCTCTTTGTTCTTCTGATTCATTGCCCTTTCCCAACCAAAACTCTCTATCAATGACATTAGGCTGGTTCTATCTCAAAAATGTAACATGAGACACAAAATGGCTGTTACGTGTTAATGTTTTAGTATCAGGATCTGAATTATCTCACTGAACTGCAGTGATACTTTATTTTTGCTTCTCTTCATGCATTACAACCTTAAATGTTGGTTCTGAAAAAACACCCCATGCACCTTACTTTTTTTTTTGCTGGATCTGTTTGCGCAGTGATTGCACAGCAGCTCCTTAGCATTTTAGCCATGTTTTCAGTGTTTTTCCATGTGACTGCACCTGGCAGATGCTGAATATTTGCGTTTTTGACGTTCAGGATAGTGAACCATGGTGACTTCTGTGTATGGTGATGTCACATTCATACCCTTTATTGCGCGATTGCGGCAAGTGTGACAATCCTGATGTGTGTGTGTGTGTGTTAGGAATATTTTGCTGAAAATTTTATAGGGGGGGACGATGCAGCATTCATGATGGCCACATTTACCTGGCAAACAAACAGTACACCTTTGCCTATCTTCCCCTTTACTTTGAGGACGTCTAGATAAGACTCATAGAAAGAGAAAGATGGTGAAAGTATACACAGAACGAATCAAACTGTTTGGATACTTGTGTTGCACTATAAGAAATATAAGCTATCTGTTTAGTAAGTTCTTTGGGGTTTTCTTGTAAACAAACAAAAGTTTACATTCAATGTTTATCATTAAAACGCATTGTGTGTATGGTTGAGCTCTGACAAATGTGTTGAATGTATTTCCTCCTCATAAAACATTTACAATGCAGATTTTTGTGTGTTAAATCTAGCATTGTTTACATCCATGTTTACTAGCTTTGCTTTGCTGCATATCTTGGCGTTACCGTCACCTGTAGATCAGTGGAATAGTGTGAAAACATTGGCAAGGATCTGCACTGCATCACTCGTGTTTGTCCTCAGGCACACACACACACACACACAGAATGAACAAACCAGGGACTCACACTTAGAAAAACAGATTCATTGCGCTACTGGAGGTCTGAAACTCTGCAGGGAACCTTCAACTAAAAATGTATTCATTCTGATTTCGGGAGTCACCGACCACCCTAGTTTTGCTCATGATAATGTAGTCAGTTAAAGCTTTATCCATGTGCGCTGGAGAGCACTCACCTAAAATGATCCAACTCCTGGTTGTCATCCAGTCTTCATCTTTATTCAAAATACAGCATCTTGTAACAGCTCAGCATATTTAAAACATGATCTTTCAGCACTTTCAGACTGTAATGAATTCAGGTAAATGGTAAATTTACTTCCACCTTTCTTTTGACCACTCAAAGTGCTAAAGTGCTTTTCCACTATATATCAAGTTCACCCATTCACACACACATTTATACACAGGTGGCCATGAACCTACCATACAAGGTGCCACCTGCTACTCAGGGTACCACTCACACGCACTCACACACTGGTGGCACAGCCATCAGGAACATCTTGCCGAAGGATACTTCGACATGTGAACTGGAGGAGCTGATCGAACCACCGATCTTCTGATTAGTGGACACTCCGCTCTACCTCCTGAGCCACAGCTTCCCAGTGTGTATAATAACATAATATATCCATGGTAACTTCCTTTTTTTGGCATTCAAAAACATCCCAATCTACCATACAGTTGGATATCATGATGATGATATACTAATTAGAAACATATACACAGCCCTAGCAACACACAGTCAGATGTCTTTTGTCTTCCTGCCAGTGTGTATGTCTTTGTCCATCCCGCTCCCCTCCTCCATCTCTGTCTTGGATGTTTTGGACCGAGGGCCCTTCCTGTTTCTCTGTTCTTTTCTCTGAGATCCAAGCGAGTGTGGATCAAAGCAGAGCTGGCCCGTGTATGACCATTGCAGGGCACATAAGGACGCCTGCAGACCAACACGTAATTTCACATTCATGATTTCATCATGTTTGTCTAGCAGCAAGGCTTTAGGGAAGGAAGTTGTTTCTCACGCTGCCCATCTGGTGGTTAAACTGTTTTGTGTTATACTGTCAGGACAGGTGTTTTTATGTAACAGCCAACGGAGGTTTTGTCCTTCTAAAAGTTGAATGGAGGCTATATATTTTCACTCTTGTGGTCATTACAGGAAAATTACACATTATTATTATTTTTTTAAGGCAATGAATTCCACACGACCCCCGAAGAGAAGAAGCTACACTGTGATTACATTATTTTTGCGTTATGCCCTAAAACAATTGTGGTCTTTGCATTAATTGGGCCACTAAATGTTAATGGATAAGCCTGTGATCAAACAGACAAAAGCCCTGCTTGACCCCCCCCCCCACACACACTGTGCCGTGCGACCCCTTGTTATAGTCATGGTTCCCACAGTCATGAAATTCCTGGAAAAGTTATTTAATGAGAAAAACTGTTTTCCAGGCCTGGAAAAAGGTTTGGAATTAACAGAATGTTTCGTAAAACCTTTAAAAATATTTCGTTTTGGCTGTTTTTTTTTGTTTAATATGTTCAGGAAAATCCCCAAACATATCTAATGTCGCACAAAATATGTTAAACCATTGAAATGTTAATGGTATCACATGATACATACAGACTAGATCGGCATTGGGTCATCACCACACCCCCTTTTGGGGGAAAGAAACACACTGTCACATAGAGAGAAACTGGAAAATGCCAAAAAGCTGTTGTGTGGTTAATCAGTGATTGCACACCTAGATTCGAGGCACATAAGATGCATTAATATTCACTGTCAGTGCAGTGTGGTAAATGACGCTGGTGACAGTCACTACTCATCAAGCAGCAACCCCCCAGGGCTGAAAAATGAAGCCAACATGGAAGTGCCAAAAACTGCTGTTCTTTAAATGGCCGCTTGAGGCTGGCTTTCTGAAGCCAGGCGAACCTCAGAGACCCCCCCCCCCCCCCATATTAAACTGCCTAACTTTACAGCAGAAATTGATATGTCTATAGCCTAGTACAAAAGATGGTTTTGGTCTCTGTAGCTAATTTCAGCATTTTTGACAACTGTACAAGCGGAACAGTTTATAAAACTGACCTGTGTACATTTTATTAAGGCTTAAAGATATGCTTATTTAAGAGCAGGCAGCTTTGAGTACCAAAAAACAAGATGGCGATGGCTGGAATGCAGAAGTCGAGGCTTCAAAACTGGAGCTATGTCCATTATTTTTACAGTCTGTGCTACTGATTGATAGCTTATAGCTGTTAAGTCTATTGGCATATGCAGCTGACAGGATGGTCTAATGAAAATGTACCAGGGAAGTCAGCAGGCACGAGCAATTGTTTATTTGCAAATTCTTTGGAAGTGTGTGTTTAATAATGTACGGCTGTATCGCTATGTTGGCCTACCTTGCCATTGTCGAAACAGACCATTAAATAATTGTCACCGTGATGCCTTTCCATAGTTGTAAAATTCTCCCTCATAGTATTATAAACCACTGTGCAGCATTTTGGCATCAGATAAGCTTGAAAACTCATGGAACTATTTCTCAGACCAGTTGTATTTAATCGTCTCATCGGTACCTTTAACGACAGGCCTCCACCAACGTAGCAGCTTGAGTTTGAAAACCCAGTAAGACCACATTACTGCTAACTTCCAAGGTTTGTAGTAAAAATAGTCAAAAATAGAATCTGCAGTCTTAAATTCAGACTTTCTGAGTTATATTTGCCACTTTGTTGGCTCAGTCACATGCACTCTACTCATAATTCAGAAATTTCTGGCATGAACTGAAGTCAGAATAAGACGAAGGAGATTTTTCCATCAATATTATGCCAATGAAGAGACTTAAGAGGCTTAAGAGTGTAATACAAGTAACAGCCTATTTGTTCACTCAGTAAAGTAATGCCTTACTTTGTTTGAATGCAGTGTGTAATAATGTAATTACAGTATCATTAATTACCTGGGAATTACTGGATATCCAGCCATGCACTTGGAAACTAAGACCGTAATCATCCTTTCTATCTAATATGTCAGAATTTGGGGTGAAGGAGTTGTCACATGCCACCCACCACCTGGAAACATGAGCTTTCCACTGCTCGGGTCTATATTTTATAGTCTGATTAAGATTTAAATCATCCAGTTCGCTCATTGGTTAAAAGCATCATTAGCTATCTGTGTGTGCTCACATTGATGATGTGTGAATGCATCTGCTTTCTATGAGGTTTTTTTTGTTGTTGTTTGTATTGTTTTATTGGCTGTTTAGCTCTGTGTGTGTTTTCAATTCATTGAGGTAGTCACCACACATCCCCACGCTGCTTCTCTCTCACACACTCATAAACGCACACGCCTTCTCGTGTCCTCGAATGACCCGCTTGCTGAGCCTGACAGCAGCATTCCTCTGTCTCCCTCTCTCTCTCTCTCTCTAGGATCTTGGAAGTTTGGGCCAAAATTTGGTTTAGATTTTGCACCACGACACACATGTCTAGC